TGCTCCAAGTGATGGGTGCCAATATCAATTCCCACACTTTCGACGAGAACCCTGATGGGTGTCCTGAGGAAATGTCTAGAGGGAGAAGAATCTCAATAACCCAGTTCAAATCAGGAACAGAGGAAGAACAGAGTGTTGCGTCTGTCTCTGCGGGTTGACTCCGTCGTCGTCCACAGTGTCCAGGCCGCCGGCGGTGCCAGCAGCGAAGACCCCGAGCTGGCTCTGCTCGCCAAACGGACAGCAACAGCTCAAAAATATACTTTTGATCGCCGAGAGCTTCGTCGAGGCCGCTGGGATCGGAGCTATTCAGGTTGTGTCGCGTGCGGCTTATTTCATAGCCATTGAAGAATTCAATTCAAGTACAAACAACACTTGGGAAATCGATTTACAATTACATTGAGATTATGAAGATACCATCAAAGCATGCGCAAGCGCCTTGGGAAAGCAGGGATTTATTAACTACTTTGGTTTACAACGATTTAGAAGCGGTTCTATTCCAACTCCCCTAATTGGAGCTTCACTACTCAGATGAGAGTGGAAATCTACTATAAGCATGTTCCGTGATCCAAGAGAATGGGAAAAGAATGTGATTACAAAGGCACAAGAATATTACAAGGAAACTAATGATATTGATGGGACCTTGAGGAAATTACCGCGACATCTGGTTTCTGAAAGAGCTATATTGCAATGTCTGAAAAAATGTCCTGGATACTACTTGCAGGCGTTGAAAGATATTCCTAGAACTTTGAGAATGATGGAATATCAAATGGGGGATGTGGGTTGTCGAATCAGTGAGGACTTTATCAAAAAGTTTTCAAGTCAGAGTCTCTGGCATGACATGTGCTGCTTGCTCGAATTCTGTGGAAGATGCTCTGCACATCATCTTCACTTTTGGCTGAAGGATGGGCTAAACGTGGGTCTTGCACATGGGTCCTGCAAGTGAAGGCATGCTTTTCACTAGAGGATGGGCTAAACATGGGCTGAACTATGATGTTGTCGAGAGAATATTTCAAGAAAAGAAAAGAGTAAAAGAAAAGGCAGAAAGCAAAAGGGAGGAAAATTCCTCTGCGATAGCACATGGGGACACCGCAAAAGCAAGGAATAAACACCCCACCAGAATGATGTGATTTACTTTCCTTACTTTAAATGATGTAATTTATTTTTCTTATCTTTCGGAGACATCTGTATTAACCCCATCAGAAGGTAATAATAATAATAAAATAAATAAAATAAAAAACGACAAAGCCCAAAATAAATGGGCTGGAATGTTGTGTAGAGGGCGAAGGCCCATAAGCCCAAAATAGCACCAACCAGGTGATCAAAAGTACGTCCAGTATTCCAAAATTATTCGGCAACCTGCCTCTATTACCACCAACCAGGTGATCAAAAGTACCCCCAATACTTCAAATTATACATTAGCATTATTCATGTCAATCATACATAAACATTCATGAGCATTACTCATGTCAATCATACATAAACATTCATGAGCATCACTCATGTCAATATTCATGAGCATCACTTATGTCAACATCCATGAGCATCACTCATGTCAATCAACATAAACATTCATGAGCATCACTCATGTCAATCAGCTTTAAAAGTTTCATTTACAAAAGTTATAGCTTCAAAGGCTTCATTTACAGAACTCTAGCTTCAAAAGCTTCATTTACAAAAGCTCTAGCTTCAAAAGCTTTATTTACAAAAACTCTAGCTTCAAAAGCTTCATTTACAGAGCTCCAGCTTCAAAAGCTTCATTTACAAAAGCTCTAGCTTCAAAAACTTCATTTACAGAGCTCTAGCTTCAAAAAGTTTCATTTACAAAAGCTCTAGTTTCAAAAGCTTCATTTACAGAGCTCCAGCTTCAAAGCTTCACTTGCAAAGCTTCACCTACAAAGTTTCAATACAGGGTATACAAATACCGCCTCCAAACAAACCGCCACTTTGGCCCATACATGGATTCAATTTGAAGTCTCCAGCCAACAGACTCTATTGACCGAAGACTTGAGGGACTACAATATACACCATATATTGGGCCTCAACTGGGCCTCATTAAAAAAAAATACTTAGAGAACTCTAGCCCATTATTTATGTATTGAGGAACGAACCCTTATTTTATAAAAGGGACTCCCTCACCATCATTAGAGAGCATCAACTCTAACCCATTATTCATGTATTGGAGCGAGCCATTATTCTATAAAAGAGACTCCCTCACCATCATTAGAGAGCATCACCGCCTACTGAGCAACCGCCTCGCCGCGAGCATCAACTCTAGCCCATCATTTATGTATCGAGGAGCGAGCCCTTATTCTATAAAAGGGACTCCCTCACCTTCAAACGCCACAAGCCAAGCCAACCAAGGTAACATAAGCCACAAGTAGAGCAGCCTCGCAACATGTGCTACTTCTAGTTGAGCATCATTTCAGATTGGGCACCGCCTCATATCGAGTATCAGTTCTAGACGACATCTAGTTACTTCGGCCCACACATGGATTGAATTTCAAGTCTCCAGTCAAAAGACTCTCTTGACTGAAGACTTGGGGGACTACTGTTTATACCATACTTAGAGCATTCGTATTTAGACCTCGTATAAATACTTTGGGGACTTAAATGTAATTATGTAATAAAGGAATGGGCAAATATGTAATAAGTGAGGAGCCCTTATTCTATAAAAGGACCCATCACCCTCACAATTAGAGAGGCCTCACATCCCCTCTCATATTCAGATAAGCTCATCCTCACATAAGGAAGCTCTCTCTCCCTCTCTCCCCCTTCAACATCTCATAGAAATACAATAATCAGTGTGGACGTAGCGCAAACATTGGGGTGAACCACGATACATCTTGTGTTATTTACATTTCTGCAGATTCACGGTCGGATTTACGTTGTTCCAAGGCCCTTCCGGTTTTGTGCATCAACAAAGATCATACATTCTAAATCTGCAATTTGTTTTTTATAACAAAGTATTTATATTAGCTTAATTTCATAGTGAATAGTAATCACATTTTCTAATCGGAGCATATGTATCTTCGTTTTACGTGTCAAAATCATTTTACTCGGTTTCTTTTCGTCTTATCTTCAATTGTGATCAGTCTTACTTTACCTTGAAAATCATTGCCTACCTTAATCATTTTTCTTTTAACTACAACTAATTGTCATTGACCAACAAAAAAAAAACACGAAATTTTTTACGAATAAAAAAAACGGTTTTGGACAATTGGACGTCCACATTCCGATCAGAATCCGTAAATTTGCATATAGATTCTTAGAACTTTACGGTGACCGATTCCAGTGGGAGTTTATATATTGTCCTTACTGATTGGAATTTAAATAAACAAAACTAAGACAAGTAACCAAATAATAGAGGGGCACTGTTTATTATTTCCATTATTATTGGTTGGTCGTATGTCGGTATCACGACGAACGGCGCAATAGTCAACCAATTATTTGTATTTTTCAACATGTCGTCATTTGTCACTCAGTACTACGGTATGGTGATATTCCTCTTCACTTGGAAGTGAGAGGTCTTATGTTCGAATTTCGTTGATGGCGAATTTGATACCAAATTAGGTCACTTATTGTGTGGCTTAACCGAACTCCCCATCTCTTTAGTGTAAAAATATGTCGATGTACTAAAAAAAAAAAATGTAGTCATTTTCCTTCATTTCTTTTGTTCTAAGTGGTTTATGAGGTGTTATGTCATCAGGTGTGCAGTATATTCACGAAGAAAATACTTATGTGAAACAGGACGTTGAAGTAACGGTGTCCAAAATGATTCACGTGATGTATTGTGAAAAAATTAAAATATGTGGTGTCGTGTTATTTATCCAATATGCTATATTGGCGGCCCAAAACATAGGTGAATTCTTCTTCTAAACCCTAATCTAATGTGGTAGATTTTGCACTACTAAACTTTTATTTTAGTTATACTTATTTCCTAATATTTGATACCAACTTGAAACAATTTGACAAAAAAAAAAAAAAAAAAAGAAGGATTTTATAGTATTCAGTTTTCAAAATTGAGGATGATTGTTTGAGACTGTTTTTGTAAGCATTGAAAAATGCTTATTGACAATTAAAAGTGTTTATCGCCATGTTTTGTAGAAAAAAAAAATTAAAAGTATTTATGAGTTATAAAAACATATAGAATCACCTAATAATTTCGGGAGCATTTTTGTTCACCACCATTTAGTGTGATGTATGCTCACCACCCTAATTATCCCGTTAGATGAGTTTGAATTTCGAGATTCGTGTAGTAAATAAGCACAAATCTCAATATTCAAACTCATCTAACAATGATAAATAGGGTAGTGAGCAAAAATGCACTCAATAATTTCTTGTTCACAAAGTACTTTTATGAAGCACTTAAAACTTTATGGCTCGTTTGAAAGTCCTTATAAAATAAATTAAAGTTTTTTTTTTTTGTGAAAATATTTTTGAAACAAATTCTTAATAAAAATGTAAGTAAATTTTGGAAAAAACACTTTAAATATTTTTTGAACCCAAATATATTTTCTCTAAAAACGCTTCCAGTTATTTTAAAAGCATTTTCTAACGAATCGACGTGATTCCACTATTTATATATATATAAAGCACTTGTTGAATAGAATTGCTTCTATATCAAGAAAGTATCGTGATTGAGACGTGGATGAATTGGTTGTGGAGGCTGTATCATATAGTTAATTAACTAAATGTTTCCAATCATGAGGTGGATTTTGTACTTTTGGAATTGTTTTCAAAGGAAAGGGATTATCTCCGGATCATTTCCTCATAATCCACTAAATCAGTGTATTCGTGTTATTGAAATTTGATCAAACAGTTGAAGTTGTTATAACTTTTAAAGTAGACCCCTATTTGTTATAATCGTTAGATCAAATTTTAATAGTACGAATTCGCTGATTTTGTGGATTAAGAGGAAGAGATCCAAGAGAATCATTTCTGATTTCAAACGTGGGAAGCATCATTTCATGTTGTTTAATCACAATAATTCCAATTAACTTCAAAAAAAAAAAGCACAATTCAAATTTCAGTTTCCCAATTTCATAATTCCCGAAATTACCAATTTTATTATCGGAATTGGAAATTTCATAAACCCTAGGGATTTGTGCAGCCTCCTGACGCTCCCAGGCGCCATTGATGAGCTTCCCTCCCTTTTTTTCCACAATTTGAATCTCTCTCTCTCTCTCCTCACTTTCTCTCTCTACACACTGTCACCGGCTCATCGCATTTAACTCCGATGAGGAAGAAGAAGAAGGACGATCGCGAACCCTTCTTTAAAACACTAAACATTCTCTCCCCTTTCCGTTGCTCCAAGGCCCGCCACATCCGCATCGCCGACATACTCGTTGATGAAGAATTGGGATCCGAAACCGACGGCTACGATTGCTCCGGAGACTTCAATATGGAGAGAGACCCACACCGCCTCCCCGAGGACGACGGATTCATGGCCTTACAGTGCTCGTCCCCGCTTTATATTATTTCCCGATGGTTGTCGACTCTGAAACGAGGCAAACGGAGGCGATGCGGCGTCGTACGGAGCCAGAAGAGACCGAAAGAGGTCGCGAAGACGGAGAGGGAGACTGGCGACGACGAGTCAACGCACGCCACCGGTTCGACGAAGGGATTGAACGGCGGTGGCGGGGAAACAGAATCAAGTAAGCAAATCAAAAAATCGAATCTCTTGAATTAAATTATCGAATTTTTGAAGATTTTTGTACTAATTATTGAATTTTGTAAAATCCAGGACAGATTGTGAAGGATACGAGCTCATTCAATTTGGGAGTTGCGTGCGGTTTGGTGTATCTGATCGTCGCCGGTAAAAATGAACTTGCAAAGACGGCGGAGTTGCGGGCGGAGATGGAGCAGTTGCTTCAAAATGCAAAAGAGGAACTGCAGAGCAAGAATTCGCGTTTCGGTTCCAGGCCGGTGGAGTCGAATGAGATGAATTTTGCTTCTTCCACCACCGATCTCCAACAGGCTTCGAGTTCGAGCTCTGAGAGCCGGTTTTCACTTCAATCTGGCCTGGTCCGTGAAGTGTGCTCGGAATTTGTTAGAAATGGAAGAGGACAAGGAGAAAGGGATGAATGCGTGGAGGGAATGGATCAACTCGAGGCGGAGCTTGAATCGGAGTTGGAACGATTGCAGCTGCATTTGGAATTGGATTCGGAAAATCATTCATCCAATTCTAACTACACGCAGCAGCAAAGATTAAACGTATGGAGAGGTTTTAATTTTAATTTTGTTTAAACTCATGTTTTGATTGATTAATCTTGTGAAATGAACACTTGAATGTGAAAAATGGCAGGCTGTCCAAGACACAGCTCATGGGACAGGCGACGATACCTCAGATTTTGGAGAAGAAATCGACGCACATGGAGCAGAACCAGCAGATTATAACGAAATCCCCTGCGACTACGGAGTTCCTGCACTCGAACTGGAGAGAAGGCTGCACGAACTGCTGGAAGCGAGGCAGGAAGAACGGATAAAGGAGCTTGAAGTTGCATTGGAGTACACGAAGCGCAAGCTTCATGAGAAGGAAATGGAGGTTTCGTGGTGGAGACAAAATGCGTCTGCAGCACTCACATCGCACCGCCATCAAGATCCTTCATCCTCCGGTCCTTCCCAGCACAGTTCGGAGAGTACATTTCACTTGTTTAGGTGACAAAACCAAGCTGTACAGTGGCTTCAGACAAGCTTCGTGAATGTAACGTCACTTTTATTTTCTGTGTAATTTGACGGGGTACATTATCTATCTGTGATTAAACCGTAATCCCAATCAATTGCTTCCAGAAACAGTAAGGATATCGAGAGCATTAGTAGCAAAGGGTGAGGTTGAATAAAATGGTTTGTGATTACCATTACATGTGAGTCTTCTTAGCGACAGCGGAAACACCAAATGGTGATTTGAGGCTTACCACGGATGAAGAATCGCTCAGCCAGGTGAGACCAAGAGGCTGTGTTTAGATTTAGTTCCTGAAAGTCTTCATTTGGCCCGAAAACTACTTTTTCTCGGCACATTTCTTCGGACACAAGCAATCGACTTTGTGCTTTTTGTGTGATTCTGTTAAAGATGGGTTTGCAGAGGACATGGGGCTATACCTCTTCTCTACTTGCTGCTTCAGCAGGCATCAGTCCTCCTTTGAAGTAGTTGCTTGGGCTGCAAGTGTTCTAAAAGTCTCCCCCTAGCGCTGCTTAGGGCTCGCCTGGGGGGTGTCTAGACCTGCTTAGGCTCTCGCCTAGATTGCGTAGATCCGTTGAGGTTGCGACGCTCAACTAGAGAGAAAATAAATAACTTCCATTTTGCATTTTATTTTTTCAATAAATTATAAGAGATTTGTTGGATACTTGGATGAACAATTATTATATGTTTGTTTCTTATATTTTGAATATGTTCTAATACTTTATGAGCGTGTTTGATTGGCTTCTCTCAGTTTCATTGAACTGGCTAGGATACTTAGCCCATGTTTAGTGCAAGCAGGGATTGTGTTTAATGAGACTAAGCCAGACTTGCTGGGATTAAGTGCTTCGCTATGAGGTCTTAGCGAGACCCCCCGAAAAGAAGAGGATTGCTAATCCAGTCTTCTACACTTGCTTTGCTTTATCTCAGGCTCGTCCAGGACTCCAGTATGCTTTGCAATGTCCTCGTAGTCGTCCAACGATCGACGACGGACCTGCATCGTTGTCGAAACCTAAATCCCCAAAAGACGAGATATTTGAAAGAACGATGCCGGAGGAGCACTGCTGCAAGCGAAACGACGGCCAAAAGTGTCCCCAATCCCCGCTTTAATGACAGTGCTGCAAGCACAAACCACCAATTCAATGAGGTTAGACCCAAAATCGAACAGATCTAGGCCAACCAAGCTCGCCCATTTAGGATTTCACGCCCACCGAACAAAAACCTGAAAAACCAAGCTCGATTCTTTGTTTTGCAGAAGAAATGTTTTTTGGCAATTAATCGGAAAAAAAAGGGAAGGGAAGGAGAGCATGGGATGAAGAGAATGAGGGAGATAAAAGGGAGAAAAAAAGATGGACTGATGGAGGCTTCCCGAGGGAGGGAGAGTCTTTTTAAAATAAAAAATGTAGAATTAATTAATTTAATATTATTATATATGAATTAAAATAATATAATATTGTAGTTTGTTATTATCCTTCTTTTTAGTCCGACACTGTATCAAATGCTTCATTAAGTCAATCCAACTTAGTGTAGTCTAAGCCAGTCTAGCTTAGTCCCTGAAGCTAGTCCAATCCGAGATAGTCCGGTGCAACAAACGCACTCTATAATTTATATGTCATTCTATTTTGCAATTATGTATCCCAATAAAATTTTGTATTTTTTTAAGTATAAATAGACACTTGTTTAAATGATATATAACAAAATTAATTAAAACTAAAAAAACTGCCTAGGCTCTGGGCCCTTCCCGCCTCCTGGTTAGCACTTGTGCCTTTTTTAACCTTAATTTTATGTATATACGCTCTTAATTATTTAAGCTACAAATTCTTGCGAACACAATATAATATTAGAACCAGGATTTCTCCAATGAGTAATCAATTTTACTGGATATTAGTAGTCAATGGATCGTACAACCAGTTAACAAATCACTCACATCACGTAACTCTGAAGATTTATCTTGCATTGAAGAATTTGTATATTCGAAACACTAGAAGGTCATTTGAAAAAAATTAAAAAATTAGAGCCCACTTGATGTCATATATGCCATGACATAGACATAGTCTTTGTTTATCTCGGATTCACATTAGAGAACCTTTAGCAGTTGGAAGAACATGGATTTAAAATGTGACTTAGCACATAAGCAAACGACACATGTTCGTAACACTTTCCCTATCTAATATTAAGTTTGTGGTGGTACAATAATTGGATGATTTCCTTTAGAAGCTTCTCCATATAGCTATTTTATTATATAAAAAATGGATTAGCTTGTGGCGAAGTCACAATAGTCCACTATTTAGGAGGCCGAGAAGACTCACAGATGCATTTCAACCTCTCTTTAGCCACCGTCGTATTATTCACTAACACCAGAAATCAAACCTAAGATGAGCCGTGTAGAATATGGATCTGATTTCATCCCAACAACTGAGTCATCCTGTGGTGATTTCCTCATATAGGCTATAGCTATTAGGTTTTATCAATAATTATTTTTGATAAGATTCGAATTCAGAAGTTGTCTGAAAGATAATGACTTTTATGGCATTTTTATACTGCTATTTTAGCGTCTCGTACAATGGTACATTTTTATATAAGGAAAACTAATGAAAATGACTTGAAAATTTTGAATTTTAACGATAAGGACAAAATAAATGGTAAAGTGAATAGTACAATGATTGACTTTTTAGTGTAAAAATATGATTTTTCATTAAAGTGAACAGTACCGGGAACTTTTCGTTAAAGTTCTCTTTTATATAGGGAAGTGTTATTGACACTCCAAAAATCTCATTATACAATTCTCACAAGTGTATTTTTCTTTTCAAATATAGAAAGTTTGGAGTGTAGAATGTGATTTTTGAGTGCCAATAACAATTCCCTATATATATAGGGAATATTACTGACACAAGCCATTATTACGATATACATGTTATGTAAATTGCTCTCCGCCCTGAACACTAACGGAGCCACGTTAAGGGCTGCCATGGGCTATAGCCCAAGTAGCTTTCAATGAAAAATAAAATTTTACATGTAATTTTTATTGATTTTCGAATGTAACTCACCATATATTTAGTCACTAATTTAAATTCTCTTAGTTTAATTATATAAAATTATATAATACAATTTATAAACCATTTCTTTTTCTTACATCATTTTTCTCACCGCTTCTTGTACATGTACAAGGTTGGATTTGTTTGAGTTTTAACACGTATTTGTTTAATAAAGAAAATTTTTGGCTCACCTTATGAAATTTTTTTTAAGCTAGTTGATACTTTGAAAATACAATATTAAGTTTCTTTATTTATAAAAACTAAAATTTTTAGGGTAGCCCACCCAGCAAAAAATTCTTTACTTCACTAGAAATTTTTTTCATTGTGACCGAAATATAAGTGATACATCACGTACTTTTATATAAGTGTTGAAAAATTTTATTTGGCCCTGGAACAATCATTGTGTTCCTGTTTTTATTTTATAGTGACTATTCAGATTTCTTGTTGACTCTACATATTCAATGGCTATGAGAGACGGACCGTGTCTTGACGTAGACGGTTAAAATTAGGCGAACCCCGCCGAAATATGGATAGAATTTTTGCTCACCACGTGGTGTATGTTTATCATTATTTATTATTATGAATTTTAAGATACGTCTAGTAAATAAATATAATTTCAAAATTTAAACATCTTCTATATATATAAAGTGAGCACCATAAAATGGTGAAACATTCAAAATACCATAAATTGTCCTTTAAGAATTTCATAAATTACAATTGAACAAAAAGAAGCTAAAGTATTTAACCATATTTTTATTTTGAATGAATTTAATACTTAAAATTATAGAAAAAAAAACAAAACCTCCCACATTAGTGGGTGGTTTCACATTTTTAATTCATTTCTTCTTCTTTTTTAAATATTTTTTTAAAAAATATGTAAATTAATTATTTAAATAAAAGATATATAAAAATATCAATTACCACACGCTTAGAGGCTAGTATCTAATAATGATAAATCGAGTGATAAGCATACGTCCCCAGCAAAAATGCACTCTTAAATATGCTGGTCCCCACTCACGAAAAGCCGCCGTGTAATCTTGTCGACACACGCACACACGTCACCGTGTGCCACGTGGACCCACACCCCCTGCTGCTCTGTTTTATCCGTCCGCTTATAAACCCCACCACCACCGTCCCCCTCCCATTCCCACCAAGCAAAGAATCCAGTTCTTCCTTCCTTCCCACTCTTTCTAACTTTCTGTTTGTTTCCCGAGAAAATCACCAGAGAAAACAAAAAAATAGGGGGCAGTCCTCAATTTCCTTACGTTTTATACACATACATTGAAATGGCAGCGGATGCGAACTCCAAGAGCGATACTTTGACGCTTGAGAAAGTGAGAGAGGCGTTGATTAAACAAGAAGATGCCATAATTTACCGGCTGATTCAGAGAGCAAACTTCCCTTTGAATTCTCCGGCGTACGACGAGAAAACGTTTCCATCGTTTTCTGGTTCTCTGCTTCAATTCTTTGTTAAGGAAACCGAAGCCCTCCAATCCAAGGTAACTATACTTATTAATAACCAGTAATTGGTAATTGCATTTCGATAATCTTTTTCTCGAGATGAATTTTCGAGGAACTTGGGATGTTACTGTGACAGTATTCCAATTCAATCGGCATGTCGTGTGATAAAACTAGCGATAGTGCGTGATTGGATGAAATATCGTTACTCTGACTTGACATTCAAGTTGTATGTCTCTAACATTGTCTCTTGATTAACAGGTTGGTAGGTATGAAAATCCCGAAGAACTTCCGTTTTCCCCGGAAAGTTTACCGCCTTCATTGCTGCCGCCACCGGAAAATCCACCGGTAATTGGTTGGATTTACCCAGAAAGTTTTAACTCTTTCCTTTTGAATTTGTCACTAGAAAAATTTTGAACTCTTTATTTTTTTGGAAAATAATTGGTTAAATTTTGTATAGGTATTGCATCCTGCTGCAGCTTCGATCAACATAAACGGAAAGATATGGGATTTCTATTTCGACGAATTGCTTCCTCTGTTTGCAGCCCCCGGTGACGATGGAAGCTATGCGTCAACTGCTTCTAATGATCTTGATTGCTTGCAGGTGAAGTTAACTTTTAATTATTTTATTTTTTTGTTCATTACTATTGCGGTTGGTGGAAGTGTTCATGCCGCCAGTAAAAGAACTTTCGTTAAAAGTACTTTATTATAAATATGCCTTAAGTCCTTGTCCATTGTAATCCAAAAACACGCTTGTACTTTATCCGCCAAACTCATAAGCGCTTTTGTAAAAGCATTTTTCAAACTCTTATGTTACTTATTGTGAGATGTGTTTAAGAAGGCATCTAGAAAGAAGCACTTGTTGCTTCAAGTTATCAATTTAGATGAATTGATCGCTCATGTATTCCCGTTGAACTGAATGTTGTTTCATCTACAGGCCATCTCTAAACGGATTCATTACGGATATTATGTTGCCGAGGTTAAGTTTAAGGATTCCCCTCAAGACTACGAGCCTGCAATTCGCGCTCAGGTTCGTGATTACCATTTTCCTTGTAATTCCATTTGGGGAAGTCTGGTTGATCAGAAAATTAATGAAATTAGGGTTTGAATTTTTCAGGATAGGGAGGGTCTGATGAAATTGTTGACTTTTGTGGACGTAGAAGAGAAGGTGAAGAAAAGAGTTGAGAAGAAGGCAATGGTGTTTGGGCAAGAAGTGAGCCTGGTTGACAATG